TGCCTGCAACAGTAGAAAATGCACATTTCTAAAAAAAACAGAAGCACTGCTTGCTAAACGATTAACTGTGTTGTAAAGTAAAGGTGATTTGTAGTAAATGAGCTAAAACATGTCAAATCAGTGGTAAGGCTTTGAAAAAGGTCCTGGGATAAGAAAGAAAGACTATCTATATATTAGAGAATCACCTCTAAAGCAGAACGGAAAATCTATATGTTAATGAATTAATACAACCTTTATCTACTGCACGAAGAAAATAATCTTTCTGTCAGGATATATTGGAGTCTTTCATTTGGAACGAGCCCCTTCTCCTCCTTCCTCTCTCCCTATTTGAAATGCCTGTTAACAAGGCCAAAGTCAGTAATTGATTTTACCTCTCTAATCTCCTCTCTCCATTATGAGACGATCTCTCCTCTGCACCTGGGGCCAACCCTTTCGTCTCATGTCTTATCTGCCTGTGAGTACACCAGCTCCTCCCAGTGGGGGCTGCACTAATCCCCATTCACCAGACTCTTCATACACACACACACACACACATACATATTCTCATGGGAGAACCCCACAGCCGACAGTACACCAGACAGTGCCTTGAGCTGCCTGCTAGCAATGTAAAGCAGAGACAGATGGAGAAGCAAAACCAAACACAGAAAATAGCTAATCAAAGACGATTTTAGTACAGTGAAAAGAAAACGAAGGCATTTTCAAGCTAAAGAAACACATTTTTCATCTACAAAATTATTTGCATCACTTACCCTTCCACAGTGTCCTCTGTCACTTTAAACTGTAACACGTGGGAGTGAAGACAGTCTGACATGGTTTCAGTGTGACACCATAACTGATTCCCTGCCACTGTGATTAACCACCTCGGCCACGGCACACTTTGGCTTGACAGGAGGGGGGTCGACTGTGAAGGGCTGCAGAGCAGGGCAGAGGAGGAGTGGATAAAGATGGTACAGAAGAAGGGTACAGACAACATCAGAGAGGAAAACAGCTACTCTCATAGTTGTGTAAATACTGTAGAAGGGATGAGCAACTTGTCACGGGTTGGAAGTTTAAAACTAAAAGGAGCTTTGATCATTTCATGAACCAAGAGGGAAAAAACTGAAAGAGTGCAGAATGAAAAGAGCTACATGAATCATAAATTCAACTCATTTGCATGGGGTCTCCACTCATCCTGGTTTGCTCTCAGAAAGAATCTGATACAGAAAAAATGTCATCAAAGATGATATGATAGGATGAACAGATCCTCTCTGTTAACAGAGTGATGCCAGCATTTAACTAAATATAAAAAGATTGCATAGTCTTTCTTATATCATCACAGGATGTAAATCTCCAATAACAATTATAAGTTCTTATATATATTTTATATCTAAATGTTTCTAATTTTATGTTTTGCTTGCTCAAAAAATATGACCTATATTCTGAGGCAGGTTAGATTAGATTCAACTTTATAGTTAAATCTAAGTACTGAGGCAATGAAATGCAGTTTAGCACCTAACCAGAAGTACAGAGATAATGTGCATATGTACAGTGATAATATATAGAATAAACACTGATACACTAAGATACATTAAGAACCCAACTCCACCGACCAGGCTCTTTGAGGGAGAGACCTGATCTGAGGGTCCTCACAATAGTAAGACATTATATACAGTACAGAATAAACAGCTGGAGGTATGAATACAGTGTATACAGTATATCAGATATACAGACTGTAGCATACATATGAATACACTATAGGTCAGATGCTTATTAAACATATTGATAGATGTATCTCTGTTCTTGTATTGTTAGGCATAAAGTATTGCATCACTTACACTCAAGAAAACTGAACCTCACTGTCCCATATGTTTCAGTGAAAAATATTTATAAATGATTAGAAACACAGATAGTAATAAACATTATTGCAGTAGTGATTTAATACGTTGTCTGCCTATACAATTTAGATTTAAAAACGCATATTTCAGTGTTAATACATTTGGTTTAGAGCCTTTTGGTGGTCATTAACTTTATCATGATCACAAATGCTTTTTATTAACAACTTAAACTAGAACAAGTAAAATGATGGGGCATTTATAGGGAGATGGAAGCACAAAAATAACTGAGTGTCTGCTAGAACCTGATCCAGAACATGCTGTAAATCTGCAGTGATCACTCCAAATCAGTAGATGGAGGTAATGAACCATGTTACCATCACACTGTGTGTTATTTCCACTCCATGACAGAAGATGGCAGTATTATTGAGGGACAAACACAGTCATACACACATCCGTCAACGAACTGGACACCTTCAGCGTGTTTGTGGTGTCATTTCATAACATCGAACAACGCAGCACTTAGCACCCCCCTGTTTTATGTAAGTGAGTCATTTGTTAGCATTAAGATCAGTGAGAGAAATGACCTACATTAAACAGATCTTTTCTAAAAGACCTCGCTTAAAGGTCGCACGGCTGCTCGGTGCAGCTTTCACCTCCTGCAGATGTTTCCATGCAGAACTAGTAAGAACTTGTGTATTGTTGTGAACTTTACACACACATTGCATTGCATTAAGACTGACCTCACAGTCAGCCTTTTCACCTCGCAGGTAGGACAGGAATCCAGCGGACTTCCAATAGTTCATCACAGCAAGTATGTGTGTGACCTCCCACCCAACCACAGGTTCCCTATGGGCAAGTTCTCCCGGGTTCTCCACTTTCTGATCAAAGATCAAGTCATTACAGAGAAACAGGTGAGTGGCTCATTGACATCATCAACTAAATAACACAATTGAGATTAAAACCTTTGTTATTTAGTGCTGAAATGTCACCAATATAATCGATTAATCAACTGATTATTATGATGATTTGATTATAAAGTTTGATATCACTCTAAATCGATTATTTTATATTTTTTTATTTTATTTATATTTTTTGGTAGGACAAACCATAAAGACTTTACCCTTTGCACTAGTTATTTTTGAAGAACAAGAGATGAATCACTGATAAAAACTTGTGATTGATTAATTGATAGTGAAAAGCATTGTTAGTTGCAGGAATACTACAGCACTACTGGAAGCACTTTCACATTTTCCTGTTAATGTGAATTTCCTTCCTCGCAGTAGGTGTGGGTCCCTGAAATTGCCTCTATAGATTTACTGAGCTGTGTGCACACGGAGGAATACCTGAGCAACTTCATAAATGGGAAAATAAATGAGCAGGAGCAAAGGAGGACAGGTTTCCCCTGGAGCGAAGGCATAGTGAGACGCTGTCGATATGAAACGGGTGAGAAGAACGTCTCTCTTGATGACTTAACAGCTGAACAGCCTGAAAAAAAAACCCTGCACAAGCTTCTCACCTTCTCTCTTGTTGACAGGTGGGACTGTTCTAGCTGCCGAGGTAGCTCTACAGAGGGGAATGGCCTGCAGCACTGCAGGAGGAACCCATCATGCATTTCCAAGCTATGGTTCGGGGTATTGTCTCCTCAATGACTTGGCAGTTGCAGCCAAATACCTGATCTCCTCACCCAAAAGGAAGGTTCTGATTGTGGATCTAGACGTGCATCAGGTAGCGTCAAAGCTGTCTCTGCTACTAATAATGCCGTGGGGTTATACCAATATGTCCTAATTACAGCATGTGTCTTTGTTCCTTGTTGATTAACCCAGCTTTTTGTCATTAGTAACATCTTTTGCATCCAACAGGGTGATGGCACTGCTTTCATTTTTAAAGATGAGTCGTGTGTGTTTACGTTCTCGGTGCATTGTGGGAAAAACTTCCCCCTCCGTAAACAACAGAGTGACCTAGATATCAGCGTGGAGGATGGGCTGGAAGACAAGGAGTATCTCTCCACAGGCACGTTAACAAAAGGCCATTATAATACACGCAGGATGTTTAGATCCAAACAGAGTTGCAGTCTCAATTTCACTACTGAAGTATTTTAGACATTTATACATACATTTCTGTATTTCTGTTTTCAGAAGAAGCTTGATGTGAACAAGCTAAATGAAAATCACAACAGAAAACTATTGTAATTAGTAGTGTTAACAGACATTTTAATGAAGAGTTTGTTTCCAACAGTGGAGGCTCACCTTCCCTGGGTGCTGGAGACATTTCGTCCAGACCTGGTCCTGTATGATGCAGGGGTCGACCCTCATTGGGAAGATGAACTCGGGAGGCTCAGTCTGACTGACCAAGGTCAGTGATAACTTTGACACCAAACTATCTCCACCTACAAATCAGATCTTGACTGTTTTTGAATGACTGTGGTGTCTGCCAGGGCTGTATCAGAGAGATCTCTACGTGATGAAGACCGTGGTGAGTAGAGGCGTTCCTGTCGCTGCCGTTATTGGAGGAGGATACTCGAGAGACATTGATAAACTGGCTATCAGACACTCCATTGTCCACAGAGCAGCGACTCAGGTACAGGACACATAAGTGTTGTTGGATGACTCATCATTTACATCAACAGTTTAACTGAATGTTCTTCATATTTCAGGTTTGGAGGGAGTGTGGGATGTAAAACCTTTATGCTGTATATCAAGAGGATCCTCAGAGCCTAACTGATACTTGACCTTTAGGAGCCAATGACAAGATTGATATGTGGGAATAAAGACATCTGGTTATGCTACACAAATGCTTGTTTTTATACAGTATATTTATATGTACATGCAACAGTTTTTTTCAAAAATTATGAAAAATATATTGGGAGACAGTGGAGCCTTAACAAATTCCACCAACTTCTCAGAATATCGTAGAATATTTTATTCTGCTGGACAAATGACGTAATGTAACTAACCTTTTTTGGTATATTGGACAGGATATTTTTAAATGGAAAGTTGGTGTATGTTTGCAGAAGGGTGATTTAAGAAGACATTCAACTTGTTTACCTCATCAAGATGCTGCATCTCTGCAGTAGTAACTATCAGTACAACTATTAAATATTCTGTAATAGTGTGTGGTTGTCACTGAATAAAGCTTTACTAAATAATTACAGGTATCATTCATGACAGTAAATGCAACACAAAACACTCATGAACAAAAATATTTAATAAAGAAAAAAACAGATTTAAACTATTTACATCAGGTCACATAAGACATTAAGGTACCAGTGTCACTTCTGAACAAACACAGTTGGTCCACACATACTGTACTGATAAGGTTTATGTACCATCCTTGGCACAATGGGTACAGATAACCAGTATGTTTCAAGTTTCACCTATTGTATGTCATTCACTGACATCAAGCAGCGACATATTTGTGGTACAGTGCAATGTTTATTCACAGTATATGAGGCAGTTGATTTGCTGAAATATACAAGTGGTATATTTCAGCTTCTTACTTCAGAACAAGACGGTATACACTATTACAAACATTAAGCACACAGACACACTGGCAACACCTTTGAAACACTTTTGAAAAAGCAACAAGCAAATGCACAAGTGTTTTGGAAGATATTCTGCACAACAACTCTTTATGATGTGTATGTTATGGTAGATACACAAGCAGTTTACAGAGTCCATAACAAATACTTGCTGCAAGTTTAGCTCCTCATACTCGGAGTGTGCAACTGTAAAACAGGCAGACAAAGAATAGAGTGTCATTTTCCACTATGATCAATTAATTAAACATTTAAGAGCAAATGGAAGAATATACTGTAGTCAAACAAATTCCTCTTTGGCTAGTATTAAAAGTCCAAAGAGAAAAACAGTGCATTCCTTAATAACGTATCCCTTGCAGAAATACTCATTTAAAAAGAGTTTAAATCTTTAGTAACACTGGAGCTTGCTGTGGTTTGACAATAAAAACATATTTTTGACACTAAAAGAGAATACAAACTAGAAATCTGGATACTGCTTGTTGGTTTCATGGATTGAAATAGAATAAATACTTTAAAAACATGGTGTAACATACAGTGATAACCATTGCTGAACACCATCAGTCTTTGTGCATCCTGCCCTGCTGCTGCAAAACCATCTAAAATAATATTTAATGCTAGATATAAATAGGTCTGTCACACAACTGGTTCCAGGACTACCAGAAACCTAAAATAGACTAAAAAATGAAAATGTCCAAGTAGAGGATTGCAGCAGTGGACTAGTTTAGTGTTTTGTGTACCTTCAACAATGGCTACATCTGTATATTTACACACTTTTCAGTTACAAGACTGTAATAATCATCAAATATGTGATTCAGTGCTAAAACTTGAGGCAGAGTTGATCCAAACTAAAAACAAACATGTTAAAATCATATTTTCCATAACTGTACTTTCTCTGCCACCACACACCAATTGGCGTGATCAAAGTAAGTGTGTTTGACATGAAGCTCTTCAACATGGTTCTCTATCAGCTCTGCCAGTTCTCCCTCCCTGAAGACGTGATAGTACCTCAGGCAGGAGCCTTCCACCTGCCCCTCGCTCCCCTGAGGACTCCTTGTGCTTTGCTGCTGCTCTTCCCCCTGCGGCCCTGCTTCACTTTCATCTCCAGACTGCTTCAGGTGCTCTTTCTGGAATGGGACCAGGTCTGGCAGGGCCAAAGAGCCACACTCCTGGGCTAAAGATAATGAGACGCTCTGGTTTTCTGTACCATTGTTGTTGGCCATGTTGTTGTTGTTGCCTCCAGGATCATTTTGTCCCTTGTGCAGGTCTGTCACCGAGTCAAAGACGTCCTCCTCTGATCCGATCACAGATGGCGGGGAAAAGAAGCTTGAGACCTGCTTGATCAGGCCCTGTCCTCTCCCGCGCTGGCTGGCCTTGTTCCCCTCATTTTCTCCTGTGGGTGAAGATAAAGTGCTCAGGTCTCTGGAGGACGACCGGGAGATGGCTAAGCTTCCAAAGTCAAACACAGAATCCAGAGACCTGGAGAAGAACCACAGTCTCTGTGTCCTCTGCTGTGGCGTGGTGCAGGTCAGATCTTCTTCGTCTGCCACGGAGGATGTGCTTCTAACCTTCCTGTGCTTGTCGGTGTTGTCTATGGCTTCGCTCACGCTCTGAGCCACGGCCCTCCGTCTGGGTTTGCCGTGCTCCCTGTTGAAGCCGGAGGGCGAATAAGGGTTGGGGTTCCAGGGAACGAAGATGTCCTGTTTCTCAAACTTTCGACGCTTCTGCTCCATGGCCCACACGTAGATCATGATACGTCCACCAACTCGCAGGGTGCGGGCCATCTCCTTTATTGCTCGAATACGTCGCTCTTTGGTGGACAGATGATGGATGACTGTGACAAAAACAAGTAATTTGTACTTAGTAGGATGATGATTTAACTGATTATGATGTTTCACATTCAGCACGTGAAGTCAACAAAACACATTATGTACACTGTATGGCACACAACATTAATTGATAGTGTGGGTGTCTGCTGTCGTCTTTGGTCCTAATTACACTCTTTTGTTGGAGGACGCACATTAATTATTTCACACTGTTGGCTAGGCAACACAAGCTCATGGGAAACTGATGTTTATCATTATTATGAGTTCATTTAATCTGAGGCCAATGGCAGCTGCAGCAGTTGAACTTCATGTATATGAAGGGAGTGATTTGAGTGGGAGGAATCAACAACATCCGAACCTCCCTTTATCTCAAGCCAAGTGAAATTTAATTACCTATAGAGCACATTTTAAAAAACAACCAATTTTGACCAAAGTGCTTTAGAAAAGGGATTAAATAACACACAGGAATGATCCAATAAAAAACACAGACATAACAAGGGGATGTTAAGATGTGTGTGTTTTTCAATTACCTGCAATAGAGAGCACAGCATCAAAGCAGCCGTCTCTGTAAGGCAAATGCAGCCCGTCACACATCTGGACCTCGTGTCCTTGGCTCCAGGCAAAGTCCACCAGGGGGCGACAAACATCGCACCCCAGCTTGAACACCTCCTTGTTGATGTGGAGATACTTGCCATTGCCACAACCTGCCAAGGTCAAGACAGTCAGCTACAACACTGGTGATTGATAAGGGGTGCTTAGCGCTCTCATTATATTTAAAATACTCGTTCCCTCTCCTTAAGGGAAGCCAATTTTTTTAATGACTTATTGTGGTTTCAGACAACAATGAAAAAAGCACAATCAATGTATTAAGGTTTGTCAGTGTGATTGTCAAGATTACTGCTTGAGGGGACACCCACCAATGTCAGCGACGATGCTCCCAGGCTGCAGGTCCAGCAGAAACTGTCGCACCTTCGGCCAGGCTTTATAGCGGCTGTCGTTGAAATATGGAGCAATCTTGTCATAGACATTGTGCACATGGTCTCTCTCGAGCTGACTGGCAGCCTCCTCCATCATGTCCGTCCAGGCTGCCTCATGCAGCGGTCTCACAGTATCATGTCTGCAGGGACAAACACATCTCCCTTGCTCATTTCCGAAAGAGATATCCATCAAATAGTAAGTCTATTTCATTAGGGGAAAAATAGCAATGTCGGCCCCCTGAAGAGAACAGCACAGTGGTTTTCCTCTCTACATGCTTGTTAAGGTCCAACAGGGTCAGCTGGAAGCCTTAATCAGCAGACACACTCAAACATCTGTCAGGCAGCAGGGGCAATTTAACAGCAAACCCTCCACTTTGTACTACAAGTACCAGCTGCGGTCATGATCAGTCCGCCTTCTCACATCCACCCCGCCGTCCTCCAGAAGGACAGACTGACGTTAGACACTGAAAGTCATCAGGTTTAATTTGTCATTAATGGTCTGTAACTGTGAAAGCAACAAAGCCGGGATCATAAATTAACTAACGAGGCAACAGCGAGGAGGCCATCCCCATCTCACATGGCACTCAGCAGGTTCATTTCCACAGCAGCCGTGTCAAATTGTTTTTTCGGCAACACAGAAGCAAAAGGTCAACACGTAAATCATTTTGTTGGGAACGACGTGCCAAACGAACAACATCAATCATGTTTGAGTGAAAGCTGCTGTTATAGTCTCTGCAAGCGGACACCAGGCCGCTGCTGGGCTTTGTTATACTTCATTTACTGTCTATGGAAGATTTCAGCATCAGCTCACGTTCTAGGAATCTCTTTTGCCTATGATGACCCTCATTGATTCTGAGTAGGACTTTCAATTTGCCTCGAAAATCAAGGCTAATATGTACACACGCGGATAGATTTCCAGGCTGATTATATTATTTTCTATCATCGGACACAGCGGCATAACTAAATACCAGTTAACTGTGTTACAGCTTTAGTTGAGGCTGTTGTACTATAATCATAAAATGAAAAAAGCTGTTTCTTTTCCTTTGATACATAATTCTGGTTTTGTTTGTAGTCCTTTTAGTGTTTTTCAAATGAGTAAATTACTAAGAAATCATGATTTGTTAGAAAAGATTATAATACAGATAAATTAGGCAATATGGTTTAAAAGCCATCCATGACATGCATTTATATATAGATATATTTTTATAAATAGTAGCTTATCACATCAATTAAGATTTTAAATGTTTAACTTTCAGAGGTTGTAGAATTTCAGAACTGATTGCAAATTTGGGGATTATGTAAAATGTGTTACGTCTGGTTTTCACAGCTCCCACTGCAGTCATCACAGTTTATTAGGATGCGGCCCACAGCTCCTGCAGTGCTGCTGCGGCTCCCTAAAGCACAACGTGTACAAATAGTATCCAAAGGATGCCATTGTTATTCTAATCAAAATGCAATCTCATTATGCAGAGTCCTCATTTGACCTGTGGCATATCACCATGGGGTTTAATTAATTTCTCACAAAGCAAATCCACACATAACACAGTTTCCATCACATGTTGACCACTAGGAGATTTTAAAAGATGTTTGCAAAGCTGACGAATTTTAATCAAACTTTAATCTTAATTTTCTTACTCTTACTGTTAACAAACTATTCATTTATTACATTTGACTCTTCAAACCTTAGTGAGAAAAGTCATAAATATAACAGTGATTCAATTTCTCTTTACAACTTTGGAGTGTTTATCCAAAAAATGTAGGCAGCTAGAAATATTTTGCTTTAATCTTTTTTAGACTATCTCTAACACACATTCATTAAGTCTGTAATTATTAGGAAAATGCCATTTTAAATTTGGTATCAACAAAAACGGTTGCAACTGAATAAGGGCAGCAGAGATGTTAGCCGTCTCTCCTCCTCATCTGCATCTGATTTGTACAAACACTGATATTAAAAAGCTCCAGTATGTAACATTTAGGAGGATCTACTGGTATGTTTTCTTTAATGTATGATCACCTGAATGTAGGAATCATGTTCTTGCTACCTTAGAATGAGCCATTTTTATCTACAGTAGCCCAGAACGGAAAAACCAAACACTGGCTGTGGATAGGGACCTGAAAGTTTCACAGCCACTTAGCCTGTACTTATTCCCTGGTTGTCAAATACAGATGCGAGCAGTAGTCAGTTCGTTGCAATCTGAAACTTCACCATTAGATTCCACTAAGACTTACACACTGCTCTTCTAAGCAACAAATCATTGGCCTAAAACATCTACTTTGAAATCACAGGCACGGATTACCAAGTTAGACCGTCTACATCCAACTCTCCCTCTGTTTCAAGTATGTCTGGCTGTAATGAAATTCACAATAACAAATCTAAAACAGAGCAATGCAACCTAATGAACCGTGTAATGCCACAGTGCACTTTGCTGATGAGGTACACCGGTAGGAAAGCTATCAGACATTTACCCTCCACCTCTCTAAAAAGGCATTAGACTGACATGTCCCTGAATGTAATGATGTCTGCTGCCCATTTGTGCACCACTGTACACAATGAATATTACTGGGAACATTTAGCACAGGATATAAGGTACAAAGGTCAAACCTGTGCTACACGAAATGCAAGCATTTGTCTCTATAAACTGGCTGTCGGAGGCGTACCCTCACTCCGCATTACCAGGCTTGTCTGTGTACTGCTGTACCGGTGGTAAAGATAGTGTGTGCAGCATCCCATCTTCCTCCACTCGGACCTATTTCTGGATCACCATCATCTGCATCATCCCAGCCAAGTGGAAGGAAAACATCCCTTATGTAACGCTGTAATCTGGCCTCCTTCAGTATTCTCTGTGCTCAATTTTTGCCCGAGTTTTCCCCCTCTGCTTACTAAACTATGGCAGTCCTCGGCTGACATTATGTAAGCGGCAGCTGGGGAGGCTCTGAGCACTGCCTCTGACTGACAATGGGAACTAAAATTAAATCAGTGGACAGAGGCAATGTCTGGCACACAGATTTGTCCGAGGTGTAGGTGCATTCACTGGATAGAGATACAATCAGCCTCTAGTTTTTGAATTTAGCCTCCCTGGTAGACAGAAAAACTACATAGCCCCCAAATTGAGATATTAAACTTAAAAAATAAATAAATAAAAGAGGTACAATTCTCTACAAGACAGACTTTAGGCAAACATTCCTGGACCATGTTGATAATGAGCCCTCAGGTCAGACCTCAGCAGTGCTTTGATGAGGACTTGGTGGTGTTACTAAGAACAGACAGGGTTGCCCAGTCACTCTGTCAGCTGCCTCTAACCGCTGGATGAACCAGAGGAACCACAGAGAACAGGTTTACCCATCAAGTGTGCCAGCCGTTAATGAGTCAACACCAGCCTGTGGTGAGAGCTGCCATACTCCCCTCTCTGCTTCCAGCATCCATTTTTCTCACCCTGTACAGTACCTAATATGTTGTTTAAATATGCAGGACATAATGAATTAAATGTATTCATGGGCTATAGAATCACAGGACAGACAAAAAGCATTTTTTTTTGGGTCATGTTTGTGCTTTGAAACATCATCCAAAGTACAGCTACATTAATTTAAAATAAAAGATTGGCAGATCAGGCAGACTGCATATGAGCTACTACTTTATGTCCCATCAAAGTTTCTTTAATTGATGATCTCATATCTGGGTAAACATATATCAGATTATAGACATTTAAAAGCAATCAAAACACAACATAATGCAATAACTGTCTGCTGTCACCATGTCAGTCTGCGTGATCCTCTCATGATCCACAGGAAAAGAAACCCACTCACCGTACAGAGAGTGAACCGCCGTGCAATTATCCGCCTCCCTCTTCTGGTCGCTGGAGGTAAACTTCCCTCTGTGCGAATGCGATGGATCTATAATGCGATCGATCTGCCATCAAGATCAGAGGCACGCGCTCGACACGGCGGCACCGCGAGCATTATCAACGACATCGCGAGGACGGGTCGCGTGAAACCGGGGAAACACCTGCAGTGTGTGCCCACCAGCCGCGTACTGGTCGCCGGACGGACGGTATCAAATCCATAGCATGTAGAGATCCACACCTGTCAAGGTAGTGAGGAAGTGCAGCCAGACTTCCGGTGAGACGTTTCAAAATTAAAGCCGTATTGGCAAAACGCGTGAAATTGTTAACCCAAACCTTTTAAGGCCCTCTGAGGTGACAGTAGCGTTTACTCCTGCGTGATTATTTACATGTTAAAAATGTGTGTTTTTCACTCAAAGCAGTAAATCATGGATTGGGAAAAACAAACAATATCATGCATAAACATTAACACTGACCTAAACAAGGGCGACAGACATTTAATGATAATGAAGAAACCAACATGAGACAAAGGCAATGTTAGATGATTGATATAATTCAGTGTAATGATGGGAGCTCATATCCATGAGTGAAGAAGGTCTCTAAATGCAATGATACAAACGCAATATAAAGCAATATAAATCACAAGCAAGTCCCTGTGGTTTCCTATATGAGAGATTGTTTCTCTATTAAATAGAAAACAACAAACAAGTCTAATGACCAAGCACTGTTGGGTAATGGTATCAGACAAATTACTATATGGGCACAGTTAATTCACAACCCCCTCATGTATTCCACCTAGGCTACTGTGTCTCTGTGTCCTGTGCTACCCTATTGATTGCCTTATTGATTGATTTAAACTTTTATTCTATCTCTCTTTCATATAATGGATACAGATGACGAATTAAAACACTGAGGAATACATTGAATTACATGCTTTTGGTGTAATGAAAAGGTGATATTACAGAAATGTACCACTGATACTGGTAATATGATTATTTCCAGTGCTGTTCTATAACTGTTCACCTCTTGTCATTATTCATGTCAAAATAACACTATTTAGTACTTTTATTTTGAAAAACACACGACTTAGTGTCCTCCCTCATTGTGTTTGGCTTGACTCCGCTGATTGGTCGTTGGTGTGTAAAAAGATGACACGCCGTGCGGTTGCAGAACACGGTTGTCATTGGCTGTCAGCCTCACGTGACAACCACAATAAACAACGTGAAGTGATAACCGACAGACAACACCTTCTGTTCCCTTAAAAAGAGTTTAACAGGAACAATAAACAATGTTTAAGCTTTTAGTGGCAAAACAAAAAAAAAAGTCTTTATTCACATGTGTTGTATTCTCATGAGAATGCTCTTCATGTTTATGCCCCATCTCCTTTCAAGCTCAATGGCTTTTAACCTCCAGGAGGTTGTATCCTCATCCAATCCGTTTCATTTTGAGGCTGATAACAAACTATAGGATGTAGATTCACACTATAGCCTATAGTTTGAAGCCTTGCAGTGTGCACTTCCTCTTTTGAGCACCAAGCATAAAGGATATGGTGAGCTATTACTCCATCAGTGTTTCCCGTTCCTCCTGATCTTCCACTAGCAAAGATAAATAAATGGATGTTATAGCCTAATAACGCAACAGCTGCATAACCAATTCAAGTCACAATCAACTAAGCATAGGTTTGATGTCTCCAACATTACGCACTACTTGGTGAGGTGGTAATTAGCAACCATTAGCCTGTCGGACCTAGTTTTTGTTGTCCTCTGCCTCCCATGTGGGTGTCAGCTCTGATTCCATCTGCCCTTTTAAGTCTCTTAGATGGTTAATGGTAGTAACTTAATTGTGGCTCATCGCTGCCATTCAGGGAGCACAAAGCGCTCATCACATCCCCCTCACATCATCATCCTTCAAAGCACACATGCTCTTTTTCTGCCGCTGGCGGCCTCACAATGCATACCTGGGACGTACACTGTACACACTGTTACACTGTTGGCAAATGGACAGTGTGAGATGTTGAAAACACACGTGTCCCCTCGAGGTGAGATTTAGAAGCTGATAAACAACTCTTTTGAAAAACCTCCACATCCCTGCTGTCAGTTTCTGTTCCATCACGCTTTTTAATATATGCAATCTTGAATTCAGTTAGTAGTCAGGCTCCATACTTCATAATGTTTGTGTTTCAAGGACTCTTACCAGCCCTGGGCTATAAGGTTTGTAATGTTCCTCAGAGAAAAACCGAGAGAGTCTCTCGAAAGGAAACCGAAGACATAAGAGAGGAGGAAGCTAATAGCCAAAAGCAGAACCATGCTATCATTTTGTTGAGTAAAGCTATTGACATTTACAGTATATGTGCTCGATGTTTATTCTCTGTATGCTTAAGTTCGTATCACCAAAACTCGGCACTCTATTACAACAAACCAAAATGTAGATACAAAAGACTTTAAGTTATTGTATTTAATGCACTTCGATCATAGTTTCGTGTCAGATCAGGAGAATGATTTTTGCAGGGCCAATGTAGGAAGCATGGACACATTAGCTCCTCCAGTGATTAAAATGTAGGACTTTTCCTGTTTTTGACATCCTGTTGTTGAAAAACAGCAGGATATTGTGTCATTGTTGCATACATCACAGTTAACAGTTGGCATAGCCTTGCTGTTAGTTTTATTGCCTGAAGAAAGTATTTCTTGTTGTCTGGGTAATGTAAGTCCTTGCCTATAATAAGATTTGCTGTGGCTTGAAAAATAAAGTAATGTAAAAGGCTGCTAATTTATTGTGCATAACAATACATCTTAACTTAAAGCACATTAAATAAAAGCACAATTTTAACACTTTTAATCATATTTGAAACCCAACAGATGGATCAGATCAGATGGAGGAGCTGAAATCTGATGTCCAGTATAATTATAGGAAGAAGATCTGTTGAATATCTTATCCTTTCTCACAATAGGAAGATAATTTCTAAGAATGCCTAAAGAGGGTCTCTGACTAAAAGCCTGCCTCGAGAAATAAATACTGCACAGATTGGAGTGTGCAGATGCTCTTCTTTTGATTTTGATCAAAGTTGGAATATAATTCTCAATCACTACACGTATCAATCACAAGCAAAGCCCTCTGGTTTCCCAGATGACATCACATCTCAGATAACCTGTGTGGAGGATGCAAACTTACCGTGTTACCTACAAGCTTTTCTGTGGAAATGAGCTGTTCATTTCCTCAAGCAGCTCATATCACCCCTGTCAGAGTGTCCAATGCTCCTGCTCATGTACAGACCGAGGCTTTATCAGGGTCTAGGGAGCTGAACAGCTCTGAGATTTCAAAGGTCAAAGCTTTTACTTTAAAGGTAGAAGGCAGCTAACACCCAGCTTCTCTGTTGAGAACATAATGGCGTTCTTGATTTGATTTGCAAAGAGATGAATTAATTAGATATCTGGGAAGGATGGGGGGCCACCAAAGCCTCTGAAATATCTATGAAGGTCACTGTTTGATGCACAAGAAAATATAAACCACATCATGTACAAAATCTGTTACTGAAAAAAATTGGGACTAAAATGTTTATAATTACAGGAATATCTCATTTTGGCTGTTTCCAATAAGATTCCAATAAAATAAGATGTTCAATCAATTCACAATGACTCAAACTAAAATAACACTGGGGAGAAGAGAGGCCATCCACATGATGGAAGATAAACCAATTTGAGAGCTCCTTTAAAACTGCCTCCACATTGATTCTCTTCCACAAGGTCATTGTTATCTCAGGGGGACCAAACTAAACAGCTGAGCCCTTTTATCTATAAAAGTCAGGGATTTGGGGCTGCTGCCAAATTTTATTTATCAAGATCTGATGAGCTTTTATTTATGAGATATGATTGGATTTGGATTTGGAAATATCAATGAAATGAATGCCAAAGTGCCTTTCATGTCTGTTTTCTTTCATGTTCCTTGCATCTCTTTTTATAACTTACCAATGACACTCTTCCGCAATTAGGTGTATTAAAAGCTTCTATAGAAACAAGACATTTGACACATTTGATATTCATTATTAGGAATAATGAGGATTTTATATTTCTAAGTGTTCCTGTGACCCCAAGTCAGAAAATTATAACGGTTTATTATTGTTGTTTTATAAATTGTAAGTTGTCTGCATGTACTGAACGAGATAGATGCACTTCATATGTAACATCACTTTACCGCGTTTGCCAGGCCAAATTGAAAATGCTTCTTTCTTTGTTTCAAATATCGTCTTGAGTACTCAGCAGCATTTGTGTACCGGTTGCAGATTAGGTTACTATAACTCCAAATCATGCCTTTTGTTTGTCCACAAAACTGACATTGTTCAGGCTGCAACACATTTTTCCAAATCATCTATACTGTGGCATCCTACACCTTATCTATACCACAGAAAACACACATTACTTACTAAAGCTGCTAAAAGTTGGCTTGCACATTAGCTCCGGATTCTGTAGATCAAGGTCAGTGCCGTGTTATTAAAGCTCCAGAGAAAGGACAGGAAGCTGTGGACAAAAGTACAATGTATACTGCAGTCTGAGTCATCAGCCAACCTTGTAACACCAAGGGGCAGCAAATAATTACTCTTTTCACTCATGTTTAAATGTACTGAAGATTACCAAACATGAACAACTTTCATTGTTATCATAATGAAATTCATTGTTGGTGGAGGGATCCCCGTGCTCCTCAGCAAATCCCAGCTTCTGGGTTAGTGAAACATTTTCAAAAACCAATTGGACAAAGGCTGAAAAGTGCACGGCTGTCAAGATCAAAGTGCAGCTGAAAGCTATGTCTTAGTCTGTCAAACAGGAGGTGGATAAATGAATGGAATACAACGTAATGGCCATACAATACAATAAGGTAATGTGGCGGGGGGGGGGTTAATGAGATAACACATTAAAAACCAAATGAGAAAGAGGAGGAAAAGTGATCACAAATAGACCCTCACCTTCGGGGCTAAATGAGACTTAACAAGCACATTTGCTTAATAACATTATAAGACTCAAGCCTGACCACTGACAGTCTCAAGAAAAAACATCAATTATGAGCTTCACCAGATAGACTGCAGTTAAAACTGAATTGTGAGTGTTCTTTTCTTTTGTTGCTATTTTTAAACATGAAATAGTGGCTTTGCATAATGTGAAGCAGAGAACAAGAAAGGTAACCCAGATCTGTCACATGAAGCTCCACAGAACAATATCACAAAAGCCCTACTGTCTAACATGGAACACT